AGTCTTTCTTTTAGACTAATCCAGCAAGGCCAAGAAGGGGACATGGTATATGGACAACCCAGTGCCTCCATGTACCTGCCCAGGCTTTTGTGCCCTGGAGAGGTCACTCCAGCTTCCCAAGTGCTTTGCTGAAATAAGACCTGAGCATGTACTTTCAGTGACTGCAGTAGTTTGAATAACTACACTGTATCCCAGTAGTTCTCATGGGTATATCTTGCTGTTGGTGGCCCTGCTGATATTTCCTAAAGATTTTTACAGTACCACTCTGCATATCAAAGAAAATAATGTACATTAGCAAAATATGGAATGTACTGCGCAGTGTTGGAAAGAATGATCAGTTCCTCTACCACCTCTCCCAAAGGAAAAGAGGGTGATGGAAAATGATGGTATGCCTCAAAGTGTGAAAGATATGAAAAAAGATACATTTATCAATATGTCAATGGGGAAAAATGATCAAATGGGAAAAAACATCTGGACAAGTGAGCTAATTATTCATAAGAAAACAGAACTGTACTTCGTGTATAGGAATGGAAAGCATATTTCATGACTGGTTTCAAATGAAGGGTAAAGAAATCTTATTGTATGAGACTAAATATTAGTCTCGTATCCACCAAACAAAATTTAGAATAATTTTCAAAAAGAATTACTACTATTTCTAGTGATTACAATGCTAAAAGCAGTTATATTTAGCCAGACAAGGATCTCATCATAATTTGAATTCCCTGTGGTGTCATTTAGTGTTATATTTGAGAAATTCCTCAATAAAAATGTCAAATAGAGAGCAAGCTGAATTCCCCCGAGAACAGTTTTGGACATTTTCCAGTACAAAAATTGTAGCCAAGTAATCTCAAGGAGAGAAGAAAGAGAAAGAGAGGAAATATGCTTAAATATCAACATGAAGGGAAAAAAACACTTAACCCATCAACCTCATGTCATCTAATTAATATCATCTAACTCCAACATTGGCTATTTATGAAGACTGCAATTGTTTTGCTATGCTGACATTGCTGGAAAGACATTCAATGGACGCTTACAAAGGAATGCAAAGCATGACAAGTAGAAATGGTTCAACGTCATGTGAGGACCTTTATTAAACAAGAGATTTTGGAATCCCCATCCAGTTTTCCCTTCAACTGCGACTGGGCCAGATCCTCTGGCCAACAGATTCCAAAACATTCAGGTATAAATAGGGCAATGCCATATAGTCACTGTATAGTTTCTCTCAGCAGTGTCCATTGGTCATTACAGGATTGTGAATGCAAATAAATTATGGTGACCTGTTACCTTCTGTTCAAGAATGCAACTTATGGTGATGTCAGTGAATCCCTTATAAAAAAAATCCTATTGAATTAAATACAGAAAGAAGAATACATACAGAATTTTAAAATCAATGTACGTTGTGTTTTTTTATGGGGGGTGAAGGTTGGGAGGAAGGGAGGGGAGGGGCCACTGGAAAATAATTGCATTAGCCCTCTTCTGGGGTTAGAATTTGGAGGTGGACATACTGCCCTGGAAGCATATTATTTAGTTCTGTATGGCATATATATTTTTCAGTTTCAGGGATAATTTACACATTCTATGAAACTGAAATAATTCTATATTAACTTATTTGGGATATTAGAGCCCTATTTATTTTCTATAGAGCCTTATTTATACCATTCCAATCATATGACTTTTCCTGGAGGGAAATGGACATTTAAATAAAAGAAATATCATAATTGCAAACCTATAATTCCAGACATTAAAAATATTATTGCTCTATAAAGCAGAAAAATGTCAACAAAATAACAGGGACAAGTATTTTTCACCATCTGTATGGAATATTTGTTTACTCAACCATGAAAACAAGACCTGGATTTGAAAGGGAGAGATATGTATATATAGAGGGAAGGGGATACACACAATCTTTAATCCATTCCAATGATGATTTATTCAATGGATAAATAAATAAAAACTCTTTTTTTGGCACAAAATAACCATAATGTTGTGCCCTGACCAAAATTTCCAAATCCCAGTTTCACATCTGCAAATACAGCATTTTAGAAACCTTTGATCTACATATTCACTAATGCATCTTAAAAAAGTTGAACACTGTATTAAAGAACTTATGGAAAGTTATATGTGCATGGAGAAACAAGAATGTTGTCCTTTTTATGACAGATGTCCAGGTTTCAGTGAAAACATCACAAAAAATGTCATCTCAGTTTTAAACATAAATGCTAATCTCAGCAGCTATGAATTGAATGGGTTTGGAAAATGAATTATTCTCTCCTTTCCAGACATAAGATCTCTATGACTAGATTGAAATATGATAATAGGGTATCATGGACAGGTCCAGGATTTTGAAAAGGGAGGTGCAGATGGTGTGGTGAATCACTGCATATAACAACCCATATTTTTGTCTGGTTAAAAAGAAACTAGAAGCTTTACTAATACTCTAGGGGCCTAGGACTATATTATTCAGATTAAGATTGAAGCAAAAATAAATATAACTTTATGGGCATGTGTACTGATTTGCTATATCATATACTATGTATTAAAAACACAACTAACCAAGCAAAAATAATAAAAGATGTTGTTTCTTTAATCTTGTAGTCATTAGAATTAAATTTACATCTTTTTCAGATTCATAAAACAAAATCAAGTATTTGTGAGTATCTTGACAGTGCATCCAATGCTTCACTGATAGTTATTTCCCCTGAGCTAACATTTTTAGCCAGTCTTAAAAACAGTCTGCACGGCTGTGAAGCATGAGGTACATTACCAGGAGCTGCTAAAGGGCAGCAGAATTATGTAAAAGTAGCTTGATTAGGTTAAGAGTATTAAAGGTGCCATTAGCATTTGTGGAATGAAGAGTTGAGAAGAAATCAGATAGATTACCATGAGCCATGAAGCCAAGCAACTCCATCACCGCCGCCTGACTAGAAATGCTGCTGCCACTACTGGAGCACATATAAAGATGCCCACTAGGTCAGCATATTTTTGACACTACAGACTCCTATTTGAATCTCTGGGTTTATCTTGTGAATTACTTGTAGGTGTTTGAACACCTAAACGTGCTAATATCACATGATATCCTGCTGTACCCTTGAAAAATCTCATGGCACGCTGGTTGAGAATCACTGCTCTTGTGGTTTACTCCCCTGGTGCCCCATATTCGTTAATGGGGCATATATGCTACACCCTTTCCTCACCAGTGATAGAGTCACTTAAAAACTGAGCCAAAAATAAAACTGAATGGCTATTCTTTTTTTTTAATGAAAAAAATAGCCATACTTTGGTACCAATGATAATTTGACCTGCTCTAGCTGAAACATATAAACACCACCCTGTAACAGGGCACAATCAAGCCCAGAAAAGTATTAACTCAGACTGACTAAATGAATGCTTTTAGACTGGTGTCAGGGGAGGGAGAAAAAGTCTAGCTCCTTATTTATACATTAGTCTGTTCAGAGCCTTTTGAATAACTGCTGTTTGTTTTTATGACTAATGATGTTTGGAAACGCAGGTCAGAAAGCTGTCAATGAACAGGATGTACAATCCATCTGAACAAATATTACTCTGGGATGAAAATGAACAAAGTAGGAAATACAGCAGCTGAAAGACTATGTGAAACCTTGCCCAGAAATTCTAGTAAGAATATGGAACAACTATATGCAGATTGACAGTACTGGGTAATGTTACTTGCAGTTCATTACCTGGTTTCCCAGTTTTCACAATATAATAACATACTACTCAGCATAGTGTTTTAATCTATGACCCCACAATGAAGTTTGGGCTGTATCAAAAACTGGTCACTGACTTTTGTACGTGGGATTTTGAAGCTGCTCATTCCATTGTGGCTTATATGTGTACATGAGAAACTGAATGGAAAGCAAACAGCCTGGACACACAGACTCTGTGCAAGGACCCATCATTAAGGCTGGCACTGGGAATCTGCAGCAGCAGTCATAAGAGCCCCAGTCCCTAGTAACTAATGCTAATTACTACTTACTTTAGTAATAGAAACTGAAGAGAAAAGATGGGAATTCCCAAACGCATTAAAAATTACAAATAGATTTTAATCAGGATCTTGGATCCAAATATAGCTGAACCAGGAGGTATCTGAATCTGAATTCTACATGTGGCATGAATCCAGTTTAAACAGTGATGCCCTGTTAACGATTACTGTCCTACTGTAGTTCTGCTCCTCAACACCTGCACAACCTCATCACTCTTGCTCCTTCAACAATCAAGAATGCATTATTTTCTGATAGATATACACCAACAATTGTACTGATGAATTGTTATTTATCCTTCAATTTCCATTGGACTTAATTTTTAATCAGATGATGGACCCCTCATCTATTCCTATTAACACTGACCACATACTAGTATGCTGTTACTTAAGTGAAAAAAGAGGTCTGCCGTTAAAAATAGATGAAAATGGATTGCAAAGTACTACACTTCTAAGTCATGGAAGAAAGAAAAACTTTATTTGGGCAGGTGATGCAGATGACCTTTTAAAAAAAACAATCAGCATAAGTATGCAGGAGTAGCTTTCTAGAGAATTAGAGCCAGGTGCATGGTTTTGAGAGAATTTAGGACTAGAAGAATAAATGCTCATAATTTCCAAGCTGAAAGGGCAGCCTGGCACCTTATAGGTCAACTCATTCAGTGAAGCATGAGCTTTGTAGGCTACTCATGATGTAGACTGTAGCCTATGAAAACTCATGCCTCTCTGAATCAGACGCCACATTGCTGTGTCTTCTGCCTAACTTGGTACTAACATGGCTAACTATCTTTCTCATTCCCTTGCTAAATTTGAATTTCAAAGACCTGATCCAACACTCACTGAAGCCAATGTGAAGACTCATTTCAAAAAGGTTCTGGATCACACTTGTACTGATAATTATATGCATGACAATAGATTTGAGAGGGAATACAGGTATTGTTGACCACAATTTAACAAATAAATTACACAAAACTAATTACTCATCTTCACCAAATTCCTTACTTACCAAGACAGTTGTGGCCATCATGAGCCAACATGAATCCATCGTAGCACATACATCTGTAGTTTCCAGGGATGTTGATACACTCATGGACACAACCCCCATTGTAGAAGTCATTTTCACACTCATCAATGTCTAAAACAGAAGATGGAAAGGAAATTTTCATTAAAAAATAAATTCTTACCAAAATGCTGATATCAACTGACAGAAAGATTCTCCCAATTAAGTATAATGCATGTTACATGGAACAGGCACATATGAAAAAGCATGTTACAAATTTATATGGCATTGTTTGTTCATAAAGATACCTCAGTGTATTACTGACAGGATATAAATGATCACATAGGACTGACATGAAGCCATCTCATGGATACAACACAGCAGATATTCTCTTTCCTATAGTAACATTATTTCCATTTTACACTGAGATCTTTTAAGATGTCTTGTCATTAAGGTACTGGAATGAAGTGCCCGGAGGCTGCGGGGCAGGGGTGGGGGGCAACCATTGGAGGACTGAGGGTGCAAGCAGGGGATAGGGCTAGGCGGGGCATCAATCTGGGGGGCTGGGGGAGCAAGTAGGGGTGGGGCATGTGGGCCCTGCAGAGGGGGGTGGT